CCAAAGGTTCATGACCATCCTACATACAGGAGCACTGCTAAATTAAAATGCATTTGTAGCAGATAATCTAAGCACACCAAGAGTTGTGTCTCCTACTGTTTCTTTGGCGCACAGGGAAAACAACAAGAGTCAGAATTCCAGGTGTGGCTGACTGAGCTTGGATTCCTTCTGCTGGTTTGACACATCCTCAGCCAAATAAAACATCTTTTGGCTCATCTTTATGTGTGAATATGATTGGTTTTAAAGTCAATTAATATTGTATAAGACAGAGAAGAAGAGGGTATTTATTTAGAAGGCATGTAGGCAGAATTAACAAATGGAAGAAAGAAGGAGCTGACCTATATTTCAGGTACCAGAACTTGTCTGTAACGCAGATGAAAAGCCCATTCTAACTCCCCTTTAAATTGTATACCACCCAAATCTATTTGTCATGTAGCAGTTACCTGCTCATAGCTGAAAAAAATGCTTTGATATATTTTTTATGAATTCAGCTTCTCCAGTGCTAAGATAACTGAATGCAACACAGCTTTGAATTAATTACTGTACGTCTGTCTCAAGAATGATGTTTTATAAAAAAAGGAAAGCTGAAAAAAGAGAATGTATTAATTTTATACACACACACACACACACACCAAAAAAAAAAAAAAAAAAAAAAAAAGGTAGCTACCGAAAACCTCAAAGTCTTAATTTTTTTTTATTTTCTTTTTCTTCCATAGTTCTGCAAAGAGCAAACAATTTAGAAAGAGAAGTTAGAAAAAAAACCTTTGGAGAAAATAATTTTTCATGGTTTAAATGTGATATAGGGGGAAAGAATATGTGCCATTCAGAAACAATTGGAGTTCTGTTTGTTTTTCTCCCACCCTGCAAAAGAGCAAATGGTCAGTAATAATGGAATCCAAATGGTATTGTCCTTTGTGATGAAATTTTTATCTATTTTCACTTTTATTTTTAATCTTTGTAGGAAATAAGATTTTAGAGAAGTCCATATTACATGTGGGGAAAAAAAAAAGAAATTCTCTTTTACTATACATATATTCACTTATTATTCAGATTGCAAGGATGCAGGAGTTTTGTTTCATTTTTCTATTCGTTACCCTTAAAAATGCTCATTGCTGCAGTCAGTGTTTGAAACACTGTTAGATTACACAGCAATATTAACAAACTCCATTCACACCCTTTTTCTTATAATGCTCTATCTTTCTGCTGCATATTACCTAAACTAAAAACTGAGACTTTACAGTTAGCCTCACAGAAAAAGACTAATCCTGAACTTAATATAACCTGAACTTAATATAAAATACATAGTTATAGTCTGATTTATTGCCTGATGTCTGACTAATATTCTTGTCTCTATTTTGTATGTTATCTTAATGCTTTACTGCAGCAGCAGCTCTACTTTGGCCTTTTAATAAATAACACTCCTTAGAGCTGTAGGACATAACGTACAGATGCATGTGAGTTAGCAGCCCCCAAAGCAACTTCAAAAGGAACATTATATACTCATATTATAAATTAATTAAGTGAAAGAAAATGTAGAGTACTCAAACACTGTGAGTACTGCAAATACACAGGACATCATTTGTAATAATGAGAATAATTTTTAAAGAAAGGATATTAGTGAGTTTGTTAGTGTTCATGATGAAGACTTTGCTGCCTTTTTTTTTTTTTTTTAATAGACACTCACATGTTATTTCAGTGGAGCATCTTCAGTTCTTTTCTGTTCACTGGCAAACAACATGTTCCTGCTGTTGTTACAGCAGGATCTCAGGGCTTCTTTTTCCTTTACATGACCATAATGTGTGCAATCCTGCCTGGAATTAAAAGATTTTCCTCACAGTATTACCTTCTGAAATCCTGTAGGAAGCATGCAAAGATACCCAGGGTTTGTGCTTAACATGACAGCTACCAATAAACCAAAAACATATTAACTGGGTCCAGCAGACATACACAGCCAAATCTTAACCTCTGGGAGGTGGTTGCATTCTGGATTAATGCCTGTGGCTGTTAGTCTAAATAAAATAAAGAGGTTTATCTGTGTAACAGACAGGAAAGAAAGCTGAACCTCCATTTTTATTACTTTCTGAGATGAAATCCCAGTTTAAAAATATTAATTGTAGAGCAGGACTAAAGGGTACCCTTCCACTCCTGACTTGTCTTCTTGGTCCATATCACATGATATGTGGAACATGATTTTCAATTTATCCATCTTCCTTCTACCTCCTGACTTAGAAGGTATACATTGTCCTAATAACCCAGAATATCAGTGAATCAACAGGATAAATGGAAAGATACGGTCCTTCAAAGGAGTGACTGTGTTTGAGCATTAAGAAGGCTCATAAGCGGCTGCTATGATCTGATCTCTGGTATGAGGGTGTTGGCTCAAAGTAGTGATTTCTTTGGTAAGTGTGGACTTTAGAACTTCCCTTATATGTGCTTTAAGTAGGAGTTAAAACTCTCATCTTTTTTTTCATTCAAACCTTGAGAGTACCCTAGCTTAGCACACCCCAACTGAGGACATACTTAAGCTTTTATATATTATTTGTGTTATCGTGCTATTTGAACATACACAGAGAAAGAAAGTTACAAAGGAAACTCATAACTCTTTCCAGTTTCATCTTCTAATTTCTTGGGGCAGAAGCAAATCCTGTAAGTGGAAAGCATTTTCCAAATTCATTTGCCTGGAAAACCATTTAGATTCATGTGCCTGGTCAATGTTTAACACGATGTGTTTCTCCACCACCAACCAAAGGCATTAGCATATTTAAAAGATGAAAATGGGACAGTGATTCTGGCACTTCACTGTGAAATGTTTTAAGGTCAGTAGTTTGGGAAAACAAACTAAATGAAAATGACAAAGTGTGTTTGTGCGTTCAGCATTGTCTCTGCAAAGCAGAAGGGTTATAATATAGCCTAGCTCCAGCTTTTTAGCAGTTGAAACTTTACCGATGACAATGACGTGGTATTGGGGTACACCTGGAGTAGCTCAGCAGGGTAGATATCTTACATTTACTTACTGAAAGCTGTGACTTATATTCAGAGGCCAGTGGGTCTTCTAGTTATAACCAGCTCTGAATTCCTAATTCATTTCCTTAGCAAATAAGACAGGATTTACTTAGATTCATTTTTATCCAAGCTGAATTTGAGTAGGCAGATTTCTCTCTGCCTTAACTGTTTTAAAGCTGCTGTACTAAAATTCACATTGGTCTAAGTGAGGAGAGAAGTAGGACCACTGGCTTTAGAGAATCCACCTGCAGAGCCAACAGTGCAAGCTAAATTTATGCAAGTCATATGTTAATTATGTACGCAGCAATGTAATGCAAATGGGCACCCACCTGCATAGAAGTATATTAATAATACTTGATAGTATTAATAGAATTCATATGAAGGAAATGCCATGATTGATTTTACATATTTTCATATTTTGTTTTCACTTTTTAGTTAATAAAAAATATTAAAAAAAAAAAAAATCTACTGCAGATATCACTGCCTTATGATAATAGATTACTTAAACAGCAAGTAATTCAGTTTCTTCTATATGGTCCCTCTTTGGCATAAAGTTTCTTATTCAGCAGTCTCTACAAAAAGATCTCTTAACCAAAACCTCTGCTGGTTGGAGTGGTCTGGCTTTCTCAGCAAGGCAATGTATCATGCAATTAATTAAGTCTCTTAGCCATCCTAATATCAAGTGGATTAGGTATTTGTTTAAGGCAAGTGACGTGCCTATTAGTTGGCTGACCTGAGGCCTAAACTAAAGAGGAGAGTCGTGGAAAATAATTTGTGTGATAATGTCATTAAAGACAGCAGTCCTCTGGCTGCTTATGAGGGGTCCTGAGTTAAGGTCATCCAGAAACATTTGCATCCAAATGCTTTGGTTTTTCCCCTGTGCAGGTAGAAAGCAGGTTTTTACCTGCTTTTATAAAGTGATGTATGATGCAATATACATATTACAGCACAAACTAGAATGTCCTGAGAATTACATCTACCTGCAGTATAATCTCATACCATAATCCCAATATTATCTCAATATTTATTGATAGCCCAGTCCTGAGTGTCTCTGGCAGGGCTGACTGCTTGGAAAGGCCCAGCCCTATGCTGATGATGATTAATGACGCTCCTCAGATACATCAGAGGCACTTGTCTTGTCTTCACGCCTCAGTGCACAGCCAATGCATAATGTCAGTCACAAAACCCACTCAGGCTGCTCTGCATTATCGTTTCATTAAACAACACAGATAATTTCCAAGGCGATTTCAAGTATAAACATGGACCAGCATCTAAGCTCCTTTTAATCTTATGAAGAAAATACAAATGTTGAGAGGGGAATTAAACTGAAATGTGAGGAAAACATCTTGTACAAAAAGGAATTCACCTTTCCTTTGTTTTTCTTCTTCTAAACTTAGGTTGACAAAATTATGAGCTAATGGAACAGTCCATGAAAGAGAGTTTTTCCTTCTCCACCTCCAGCTGTGAAAAATGCAAGGACACTGATTACAGAATCTATTAAAAAAACAAACAAACAAACAAACAAACAAAAAAAACTATCCTCAGTCTCTCTGGGGGCATGCAGAAGTTTAAATAATTGTTCTGACATACCTGAGGCAGAATCCACCTTCAGCCATAGGGAGTTTATCCCAATAATTTAGACAATCCTTAAATTGTGCTAGAAAAGCCCTGTGGAAGGATCCTCTCTGGTGCATAGCACCAGCACAGTATCTCTGAACCTTTGTGACTTAAACAACATCTCTGGTGTGTTCTGCTCTTTTAAAGAAAGAGAAATTTATTTTTTATATTTTGAGGTAGTGTGATAGAAAAGATTCTATTTTGCTAATAGTTTGTAGTGATGATAGGATTTCAAAAAGGAAATTTTTGAGTCGAGAAGTAAAGCAAAGTTAGGCCAGACTGGAGAGCTTTTGAAAAGCCTACTCTGAACTGGCAAAACTATTTAATTTTCCATTCTCCAAGGCACTCGTATGTTAATCAAACTGGACCATGTTTTTCAGAGGATGCCTATAAAACTCAAGTCCGAATTGATGATGAACCAGCCTATTTGGACATTCTAGACACTGCTGGGCAGGTGAGTAGTTTTCCAATGTGAATCATTCAATTAGAAATAAACTCGGAGATTTTAACCTCAGATTTGTGAGTCACACAGCTAGAAAGCAGGTTGCCTATTCAAACATTAAAGCATCAGTGGGAGAATAACATAGAAGAATTAACAAAGGAGAAGATTAAAGGAGTGCTGCAGTATAACGTAACTTAACTTCCAGATCTTACCAGAAGAGACAGACAAGTTTAAATAAGCAAAAGACAAAAAGCTGTTGGTATCTTTTTCTCTTTTATGCAGGAACGTCTGTCACAATAATGGAATGAATAAATGTTATCATTGGTTTGTCTTATGTCTTACTCATCCCTGCTTTTCCATGCATACTTCAGGAACTTTCTGGTCTTACTTGTAGATTAAGTATCTTGTTATACCTCTTCTCCTCCCCAGACTATATTTAAATATCAAATGATGACCGAGAAGGAAAAGATCTTAATGTCAAAAGTAGCACACATACAGGGTGCCTGGAGAAACTGCGATTGCCCCATCCCTGGAAGTGTCCAAGGCCAGATTGGATGGGGCTTGGAGCAACCTGGGACAGTGGAAAGTGTCCCTGCCTGTGGCAGGGTGTTGGAACGAGGCAATCTTTAAGGCCCCTTCCAAGTGAAGCTATTTTGTGATTCTGTGATGTCTATGACAACATGTATGTGGTGATGTGACCATCAGTCAGGGAATTAATTGTCACGTGCAATAATGAAGACAAAGGAGTTAAATAAAAGAATTTCTTCTACCTGGCTCAGTTCATCCTCTTTCAGTCTCAACATAGTTTTGCTTTTTAACCAAGATAAATGCTTGTTGCCACTTGTTTATGTTTTCCTGAGGTGTGTCTTAGGTTCTGTCTGGAGGCTTCAAAAGTTTCACAAGTTTCCATAGTCTGTGTGTAGCTTGTACTTGTGGAACAAGTTGTCTTGTGGAACAAAACAACCAATAAGGAGAACAGGTACTTAAAAAAAATTAGCAAACAAAGATTTAGGAAGTGGAAGCCTGGAAGCCTTGATATCAGCTTCCCAGACCTCTGAATGT